ATGTTTTTTAATCTAATTTTTGATTTAGCAATTCAAAAGTAGACTAATAATTTTTACCATTGTTCTATGAGACTTTAATCAATGGATTGCTGTTAGCTATATAACTCTGTAATAAGAATGATTCTGTTCTTCCTAGATGGTTAGTTCACCTAAAATTATATATTACTGAACAAATAAATCTTGTTCTTAAAGTACAGCCAGAAAAAAAAAGTTTAATTTTAAAATTCTCACAGTGGTTTTCTTTGAAAATTTTAGTAAGCTAAATTGAAAGTGTATTCAATGAACATTGACTAAGAAGTTCCTGTGTTAGATTTTGTCCAATACCCTGGGAATATTAGGTTCATTATGATCATAAAGATGAATAAGATAATTTGAGAAAGATCTGCATAGAATAGTATAATATTAAATGAATGCTTATTAATTTGATAAGATAACTGCTGTATGGTTCTCTTTGTGAAATTTCCAAGAAAGGATGCTTTACCATTCCCGCAGTTCAGTTATAGTTATATGTTTTGGACTGCCTGATGGTTTTAAAGTGCTTAGACTCTATAAGAACAAAAACCATACAATTACAATAATATGTACATTCATATCTCCCATTTTATATTGGTTGACTTATATGTGAAATAGAAATAACCCAACATAAAATATTGTTACATGTTACATTATGTGGTTATTTTATAAATGCTATACAATTCACTGAAGGAAAATTAATGTGGATAGAGTATTTAGGAAAGGCCACACAGGAGAAAAAGAGCCAGAGATGCGTCTTCTAGAATTTGAGTAGGGGATAAAAGGGAAGATCATTTAGGGAAGGGAAATACAGAACCAGTATAGCAGCAGAAATGGTTATGATGTATTTGAATGATTGTGTACAGAAAAATAATACGAAATAAGCATGGTTAAGTCATCTTAAGTTGTCTTGTTTCACATTAACTATTCTGGTTTTTTCATTTGTAAAAAAAACCCCACATTACAAATTTGGTAGAGCTATGAGGATTAATGAAAGTGATAAGGGAAAACAAGATAGCACCATCTTGGCCCATAATTGACACATTTAATGGGAGCTTTTATATGGTATTCCTTTTTCTTACTGCTGTCACCCTCCCAGTTCAGGGATTTGACATTTCAAACTCATTCTTCAAGCAGCAAACATAGGTAAAATTGTTTTGTAAAGCTCTTTCTGGCCCAACCAAGTAGAAGTGAGTTCTTTTTCTTTGTACTATTCATATGACCTATAACAAATTATTTATTTTCTTTTGCTAAAATTGATTTTTAAAAATTATCTGTTGGCTTTTTCTAATGCAAGAATACTTTATTATTATTTAAAACCAGAAGTCAATTACTAAATCTATATTTGTGAAATCATATTGGCCTCTATGGAGATAAAAAGTTTATGGATTATTCAATTTTGCCATCAGGCTTTTTCTCCAACTGCTTAGTTTTTAATAACATGATGTTTAGCAGGAAAATACGATAGCTATTAATATTATTTTAAAATGCTTTTAATATAACATTTTGATTAGATTACACAAGTATATTATTAAAAAACTTATATAATGAAGTTGGGTCTTATTCATAAAAAATGCTGCTATGTATAAATAAATGTTCATCTTTACTTCTCAAGATTGTCCTGAGGTCTCATTTTTTAAATGAATTTCAAAATATATTTAGTGTGCAATCAAATACTGCTTTTTTTTGACAATTGATGTTTGATAAGTTTTTTGTGTTTTACTATTAATTGTAACAATCAAGTTCTAATTAATTAACCAACATAACACAAAATCCTACTAACTAAGGATATGGTAAAAATGACCTGTTGCTGTTTAAAAAAGTAGAATTATTTTTACAGAAATTTTGGATTTACAGAAAAATTGTGCAGAAAGTAGAGTCTCCATAGATCCTTTCCCGTTTATTCCCTGTATGCAGTTCCTTCTATTATTAATAGCTTCTATTAGTGTAGTACATTTGTTATAATTGATGAACTATTATTGACACATATATTACTAACTAACGTCCATAGTTTTCATTAGGATTCTCTGTGTTGAACAGTTTTATGAGTTTTACTAAATGCATAATGTCATGTATCCACCATTATAGTATCCTACAAAATAGTTTTACTGACCTAAAAATGTTCTGTATTCCACCTATTTATCACTTTCTCTCTCACCCTTAACCTTTGGCAACCACTAATCTTTTTACTATCTCTATAATTTTGCCTTTTCTTGGATGTCATGTAGTTCAAATCATACAGTATGTAGCGTTTTCAAAGTGGCATGTGTCACTTGGCAATATGAATTTAAGGATCCTCCATGTTTTTTCATGGTCTGATAGCTTATTTCTTTTTAAAACTCAATAATATCCTATTATTTGGAAGTAACACAGTCTGTTTATACATTTTTTAATTATTTAAAGGTGTCTGTTTATATCTTTTGTTTCAAATGACTATTTTATAATTGAAATTATTGTAGTACTATGTAATTTTTGTCTTCTTTCCTCTTTCATATTAGGACTAGACTTTTTATTGAGGCAATGCTAAGTATTAATAAATTTTAAAATTTTATATATGTCTAATAAATCCTGTTATATGCCTATAAACAACTTTCAGGGAATAATGTAGTGGTTTTTGTTTTAATATATGTTATTTGAATTGTTTCCTCACTTTTGATTATATATATATTTTAATATATTTTACTATTTTTAAATAAGACAATATGTTGTTATTAGCTAAAGTCACTATTTTATACAATATATCTCTTGAACTTATTCCTCTTATCTAATTGAAATTTTGTATCCTTTGACCAACAACTGCTCAACTTCCCCATCCCCTTGCTCCAAACACCCCAGCCACTGGTAACCACATTCTACTCTCTACTTCTATGAGATTAACTTTTTTAGATTCCACATATGAAGAGAGTGGGTGTATTAGTCTCACCACAAAAATAACTATGTGAGGTAATGCCTATGTTAATTCTCTAGTTTCAGTCATTTCACAATTTATATATACTGCCAAACATCATATTGTACATGATAAATACATACAGTTTATCTGGCAATTAAAAAATAAAAATAAATTTTTATTACTTTAAAGTATATTCACTTATATACTTTATATGTGATGAAAATTTTGTTTTTCATGTGCCTAAGAAGAGGGATGTTACATATAGATAAACTGTGCTGTCTATTTAAACTCCCACCCCCTAACCCCCAAACAGGGACAAACCACTATTTCATATTGTCCATTTTTTACTTGGGAGTCTATATTTCTTTAGTTATCACTTTCTTTCTGTAACAAAGTAGTTTTCTTTTAAATAAAAACTTTTTTACATCTTTCCCTTCTTAGAGGAAGTGCTGTCTTCTTCCTGTGGAAAATATTTATATTTCCTCTGCCTAAACTCAGCATCTGATTCTCTGAATTTTCAGAGACTGTAATTTATCAATTGCTGCCCTTGCTTCTATGTATTTCCCTTTCCATCTCTACAAACTCTTTCATAATGAATAAATGAATGCATAACTCTTGTATGATTCAATTGCTGGTTTCTGAGATGCATAGCATGGTTAAACTCTAGGTATAGACTCTAACAGCTTGGCTTAGAGTCTGTTCCTATATCTTACCCATGACAACAGCTTTGATTCCAATGTTCAATTAGCTTTATGACAACGAATACGTTTTCTAACTTAAGGTTTCAGTTTCCTTAACTGAAAAAGGGAATTATAGTAGGATTCTGTAAAAGTTATGAGGAATGTGATAATTCATGTAAAGTTCTTAACACAGTACCTGTTACACAGCAAATATTAATACCTAAAGGATATTGGCAATTATTAAAGTGATATTTTGATTGATTTATGAATATGAAATATGATGATGCCCTCCCCCAGAACCTTAAAGAATTTTTTCTTTCCTAGTTTTTAGAGAAATATCTTTCTTTCTCTATAGCTACTTTCAATGACATTCTCTCTAATAGTGATTCTTTCCCACATACGACCAACACACAAATACACACAAATACATGGAATGCTATTCTCAACAAATTTATCATCTTAAAGTTTTGTCTCTAAGTCCTTCAACATTACCTGAGACAAGAAAACAGAATTTCATCTTTTATGTGTCTTTCTGTAGCTTTCTACAATAATATTTTTCTTTATACTCTGAAAGTTTTTATGTTTTTGAATAATAAAAGGAATGTAGCAATATAGATTCTCATCATAGATACCTTTGTCGTTTGAAAATACAAATAATTTCTTACAATATATTAGAGCTTGAGTTCATCCCTGACAGATGGTTATACCATGATGAGTGAAAAGCATTAGTAATTTAACATATTTAAGCTACCGTGGAAAATTAGCAACTTCATGAAAATTGAAAACTCATTTTCTAATGTGATTGAAGCAAGCCTGCAAGGATTTTCATTAAATACTGTAAAACAAATTAGAAGGATAGAAACAAAACTCAGAGCCAGTAAACAGAATCACATTAAAAGATGATTTCAATAATATTTTAACTATTTAAAGACTAAAAACTTTTAATTGCATTGTATATTTTAAAGCTATAAAATGTTTCTTAATTCTTAGCTAAATATTCAGTGTAGTTATTATAACTATTAGAATTTGACTGATATATTTAGAAAATGATAATTGATACTAAATAGATTTTTAAAGTTTAAAATAAAAGCAATTATGAGAAGGCTGAGTAGCATGATTCATGTACTGAATGTACAATAGTTTCTTCAGTATTTTTATTATATACAGTTGTTTGATCTCCTTGTATACCTTCTTGCAATAAGTGCTCATGTGAGGATCTAAAAGCACAAAGAAATGATTAGCAGAGTAAATCAGATGCTTCATTTCATAGTAAAGAATGCTTTAAATTTTAACATAACCATTACTGCAATTCTCAAATATAAAGCCTTTGTTTTATTTAGTTTGGTTACTGATTTTTTTCTTGTGCCTTAAAACCAATTTTCAGTTTCTCTGTTTCTTTTTTATGTTTTTCTCAACAGAAAGCTGACCTTGCAGTTGCTCCACTGGCTATTACCTATGTTCGAGAGAAGGTCATCGACTTTTCCAAGCCCTTTATGACACTTGGAATAAGTATTTTGTACCGCAAGCCCAATGGTACAAACCCAGGCGTCTTCTCCTTCCTGAATCCTCTCTCCCCTGATATCTGGATGTATATTCTGCTGGCTTACTTGGGTGTCAGTTGTGTGCTCTTTGTCATAGCCAGGTAACATGCTCACTTTTGTGATTTTTTTGGCAATTGTTACCTTCTTTATCTAACTAATAATTGTCAAAAGTCACAATCAGTTTTACTTTTTCTGTTCTTTATTTCTCATGGGGTGCTGAAGAGTAATGAGTTTTTAAGAGTCACATCCACTTCTTAAAATGTTATGCTGCCTTTTTGGGCTGAAAGCATGCTGGTTGTGTCAGTAAGCTATTAGTGCTGTAGGGTTGATTATTTTCTTGATCAAAATATAAAAGCAGTCCAAGTCACTATGGTAAAAGAATCATTGCCTGATTTTGAATATTTCTGTCAAACCTAAACCAGAATAGCATGTTTTGCTAACTTGAATTAGTAATTGAGTCATAAGTAAAACCAAAACAATAAAATTTTAAGAGACATTTTTAAAAAAGTAACCAAGGCTAATTTACAGTAAACATTCTACATATAAAAAAGGTTATCATGGTTTTCTACTTTAAACTGGTCATTTTTTTCACAGAATAGACATCACTACGAGAAATGCCTTATTCTCATTGACATGTAGAGTATGTTTCAAGTCATAGGTTCAGAAAATCAAATGTTTAATTGAAATATACATAGTTTTATATTATAATGGCCTTCAGAATCTATGCTATAGCTCAGTCAATGTTGATTTTGCTACTTTCTTGTTACTCTTGGAAGTGAAAACTTGTTATCATTTTCATTTATTCTTACTTCACTCAACTCTCATTTATGCTTACTTCAATCAATTGATAGATCATTTCAATATAATTTATTTTTCTTTTGCCTTAATTAAGATTAGAATTGTGCCTCAGGATTCAGAACTCTATTGTTACTCTAATAACATTGAGTCAAGCCATATATTCATTATATTCTTTGAATTTTTATATTTTATGAAATATCCAAAAGATATAAATAGCTCTGAATCCAAAATGAATTAGAATTCTAAGTATAATTTTTTATATTGGTAAAAATATTTATAATGTATAACTATATATATGTTTTTGTGTCCTCTAATCAAAAATAAATATGCAGTAGTCTTTTTTCAATTACATTACATAGACTCCTTTGATAAATTTATCATTAAGGATATTTGTCCTTCCTTAAACTTATTCTTTTTCCAATGATGTCATATAATTATACGAAGCAGTTAAAAAAAAAGTTTAGTTCATTCATTTAAAAAAGGAATAAAATCAATTATAGAAGTAGCTTAATATTTTATATATTTTTAATATATTGACACATAGATATTTTATATATGTATACACAATTATTATAACAATTTATCATTTTTCACCTAATTGGCTTGAGTCCTTCAGGCAATTGTCATTTGCATTTTCTTGAAAATATGTATTGGAACCCTGAGGCCATGTAGCATTTGAAACTCTATGGTAGAGTTTGCTAAAATTTTATTTGAAGTTTGAGGTTCTCCCTCCAGAAATGAGGATTTGGAGTTCAAAGTTCGTAAACTTTTAGCTCCAGCTTTTTCATATCCTGTGAATATTAAATAGCCTTCTCATTTCTGAACATCTTTGGACCAATTATATATTTTTCTATAATGACCAACACAGCCACCCTATTTAATATGTTTTCAGAGAAATTTAGTTCTAGAGTCATTCAGTGGCTAGAAAGCTCTTTAGTCAGCACACAGACCATGTAGAAAAATATATACTCTGAAGTATAGAAAAAACCTTCCTTGATGTTTGCATGTACACCTGTTTCTTCTTAATCAAATTAACCAAAGTTCCCAGGAAGGATATAAATAAAGCCAAGAGGAAAGTGTCATGAGACAATTGTGTGAGCATTAATCATGCTGAATTATGTCTAACAGGAGTTTCTTGTGGATCTTAAACACAAATTCTTAATTTATCTCAAATTTGTGTTAGAAATTTTAGATATTCCTACTTTTCCAAGCCCAAATCTTTTTAAAATTAGATTTAAAGCAGATTCTAAAACCTGTGAATTTGTTTCCAGCTTAAAAGTACATTTGCAAATAGAGGCAAGTGGTATGCACATGCACTTACTAACTTTTCAAAATATCTCCATTTGGTAAGAATATCATAGATAAGCATCTCTATAATTATAGTAAACATGGATTGATTTTGCACACAAAAAATACACCCAGAGATGGGGGGAAAATAAATAATAATAATAATAAAAAATACACCCAAGTCATCCTATTTGAGAGCATAAAGTCAGATCTTGTACTGTTTTTCAGTGCTTTTAAATTTTGGAATGTTATATTTTGTCAATAGTTATTAAGTGAATAGATTTGAAAATGGCCCTATTTTAGCTTCCCTCTATATTCAACATGAAAAAAATTGCCTTGATACTGAAAAAAAATAAGGTATAAAATATTTACTTTTAAATAATAGTGTTAGATAAACAATGATTGGTAATAAAAATATTAGAGGATTCTTGGTACACAAGTGAGCACATATATCAGATATAAATCATTTTGACAATTTTTCAGAATATTTTGTTCTCAACATTCTCATATTAAATAATCTTGTAACATATATTCCAAATTGAAATATATATTGAAACTCAGATAAAAGAAAATTTCTGAATAGTCAATTTACAAATTTTAAACTGAAAATCCCAAATCAAATGAATTGTATAATTAAAATCTACTCTGACAGTGGTATTGATTCTTGCTTCCTTTGCAAAGGCGAAATAAATGCTACAAGTGTCAAATTGTAGAACTTAATTTTTTTTTAATTTAAATAGAATCACCAATATTTGTTCTAGAATTTAAAATACATTTATTTATGCCAAGTGACATTTTGATTTTACTTATCAGTAACATTTATCTTATGTCATATAAAGATTTACTGATGAACTCATTGACATCATTGTTTGATGTCAAGTAAAAATGGTGTATATTTATATTCTCTCATCTCCGGCATAACTATTGCAGAGAAAGAAGAAAAATATCGTTTTTAAAAATTTTAAGACATTGTTTCGATTTCAATTGAAACAATAGCAAACTAAGGTCTAAATACTAATTATGTTGCAATAACAGGATTCAAGTTTATTACTTTTTAGCAAGTTATATTGGAATTTTAGCAGAATTGTGTAATACTTAAGAATGGAAAAACAATTTAATTCAAACCTAAAATATAGCAATTAATATTGTAAGCATTATTAAAAACTTTTAATTGTTATTATTTTTATTTGGTTTTGGTCTTCTTCTGATATTGTGGTTGTCATTATTGTTACCAATTATTATTCTATTATCTTTCTACCCAAGCTATATGCATCTTCAATTTTCATTTTCTTTAGATTAACATCCCTGATTATCACTCAATAA